TACAGTTTACATACTACTAACTTTTAATATTTTAAGTGTATCTTTACAAAATTTTGTAGACTTATAGTAAACATTAGAAGCCCTTTGCACACAAAAAATCAGATTTTTTAATGAAGTATTTTTACTTAAATTTGTCCATGAAAATATAAATTCTTTTTTTTTAACTAGTCTGAGTGCAAAGTGATTTTCATGTCAAAATTAAAAATACTTTTTGTCATCTAAAAAATCTCAAATTTCCTTTGTGTAATCTCTAAAACCTCCTAAATGCATTTCAAACGTTTTTTTTTCACTAAATCCTTCAACAATGCTTGAAGCCTATCTGAAAAGCCTGAACATGAAGGGAGTTTGCCACTTGGGTGGGAAGGCCTGGGCAGCAGTCAGCTTGTCGTGTGTAGAGAAATGCTGGAAGAAGGGTCTGGGGCTAGCCTTTTCATCACAGTAATCCACCACCGAAGATGATGATGATGAGACAGATTTGTACGGCGTCACAGAGGAAGATGTGCGTGAGGCAAAGAAGCTGTCTGAATGGAGCAAAGAAGAGCTACACCAGTGGCACTCTGTTGACGATGAATGCCCAACATATGAGCACTTGATGGATGCTGAGATCAATCGTAACTTAACTATAGCATCGATGGACGCAAGTGTACCGGTTCTCAAGCCACAAGAAGAGGATAATGAAGAGCCTCCATCACCACCAAAAGTGTCTGAAGCCATTGAACACCTCGAGGCTAACTCCGTTGGCTGGAGACTCAGGAGGTGGACCACATAAAAATCCTCCAACTCAGAAGGATTCTAGATTTTGCTCTCAGCCAGAGACATGCTACATTGAAGCAAGAAACACTTGATCAGTTTGTTAAGAAATAAACTACAAATGATGATTGCTAATATTCTTGAATGTTTTTATTTGTTGTTTTGTTTATTAAAAAGCCTACTATAAAATAATTTAGGTTTTAATTTCTACTGTAACAACAACGATTTATTCACAAAATTCTTTAATTCAGAGGTAATTTACTTGCCAGAAAGGGAATGTGTAAAAACTAGTCAAAGAGGGCAAAAATAGAGGTGTTTTAGGTCAACATTGGGTCAGTTTGAACAGTGATTTTCTTGAACACCATTTTAGCTCGACTCTGCTTGTTTTGTGATGACATTTTATGGACCCCAATGATCGCGTTATAATGGGGCTACACTGTATTTTAATTTTAACCTTTGCTTGTTTCAAGAAATTTTTTGTTGTTATAAAATGTGCCCATGAACATAATTTTTTTAATGTATATTACTTCATGTATCTCTTTATTAAGCTTATTATATCAAAAAATGTATTTTATTAAATTTCATGTTTGTCTTTGCTGAGCAGCATTTCTTATAACTGTGTTTTATTTTATCAAGACATGTTAAAGTGACATTTCCCCTTTACATTATAGAGAAATGTGTTATTGATATCTGACCTTTACTTTGTCAAGATGATATGTTCTATTTTCATTTGACTATTTTTTTTAAGGAACATATTTTAATAAAAATTTTATTTATTTAATGATTAGCTATTTACCTTTTTTTTTCCATGACTAACCTTATCTCCCATTTTTTGTCATTACCTTTGTTTATATTTTTGTTGTTGAAAACAAAGATTTTCAGTTAAAAATCATAAAATGTCTTGAACCTCATCCTTAAATCTGTTTGAAAAGGAAAGAAATAAGGAAATAAGAATGCTTGTAGATAATTAAAATTCAGTACACTGTAAGTATACATTTAAGGTTTAATAGGAAACTAAAATAATTCCATTGTGTGATTTAATTTTGTTTAAAAGTATTAAAGCATTAGAACTTCTAAGAATAAAATGTATTGATTTAATTCAAATGACAGCATAAAAAAATCGAACTAAGTGGTAGCATTTTTAACTCGGTTGTAATGCATTCAGGCTAAACTTGAAACATCAGTATTTGATTTCATTATACTTTGTTTGTTGTATTTATAGTTAAAAAGTATGTTTATATCATAATAAGCAATACATCAGGAAAGTATTTTGATCTTTTAATTGTGACAGCATGTGTCAACCCTATGGGTAACAACTGTCCTTATGCTTTGAAAATGGCTGCATGTCAGCTTTTATTGGAGATTACTGCTTTCTTACGAGAGACCTACCAGTATTTGCCTCACAAATCTTCTCGCCTCTCAACAAGGGAGAAACATTGTTTTGAACCTAGAAGTGTTACTGCTAATCGACGTTGGAGCATGGCCTTGAGTAGTTTGGGATTTAGTCAGAACTCGGCACATAGCTTGGTGTCTTTAGCTGAACAAGGACATCCATGTTAGTTTGTTCAATTTTTCAAATGTGTGTGTGAAAATAAATTTTGTTTTGATTTCAGTAAATGTATCTACATAAACGTATTGTTGCTGATAAATGCTATTATGGTTTCAAAATATAGATATAATTTTTTTTATGTAATTAATGAGGTACATTATGATCATAGAAATAAAGAATGTCTTTAATAGTCCTTAAAAAAAGATACTTATAAAAGCATATTCAACCATGTTTTATAACATAATTGTTACTGGTAAAATGTTATAACCATATAGTAGGTATTATTGATCTTTGCACAATAACTAACCAATGATAATAAAATAGTATTATTAAATATTTAAGTATGTAGCCAATCAAGGTTATATATAAGACTAAGTTTATTTTTTCTAAAGCAGGTTGTTCATTATAGCATGTCTTTCATTAGTGAGAAGCAATCCAAGTAGGTTAGTTTTTAATTTAACAAATATGTTTCTGTAGTCTAACTGTTGGTAATGATAAAAATCATCACACATCATTGTTGTTAGGTAAAAATAAGTTGAATACCTGTTTTCTGTGTAATTCTTCATACTGATTGAGACTGTTTTTTTAGAATAAATATTTATATTTTTATAAAGTTGTAATGACTCTCTGTGTTAGATATGAAAATCACAAACTGCTGAAAAAATTTTCCATATTTTTGGATAGTGTGTTAGATTTTTTGTGTTTTTTTTTTATATAGTTGCTTTAAATGAAAGGAGAATTAGTTTTGTTCTTCATGAAGCAGATGCTGAAGTAGAATCAGAAAATAGTAGTAACACGACTCTGACAGTTCAGGAAGACCCTAATTGTGGAGATGAGAAAAAAGGTAACACATATTTTATGTAAATAAATAAAACAACATTGAAAGTACTCACTCTGATTTTCAATTCACTAAAGTGTTTATAACTGATAAGCAACCCTTTTATCAGTAAAGAGTAGGAATGGTCATTGATTTATTTGTCAATGTTATAAGTAAGATTTTTCAAAGGTTACTTCATGAAATATTTCTGAGAAGATATAGTTCATTTTAGTATATTCTTTTAAAACTTGGTACTTTCATTATTTCTTGGTTAAGTATAATCATCTTAAAACGGATTTCTATAGGATTTACAAAAACAAATCAGTTGTTGATTATTAACTATTAAAACATAAGAAATTGAAAACAATCATACAAACACACAGGTTATACAAATAAAGAGAAACATTGAAAGTCTTATTAAATTTCACTATAAATCAAACTACTTCATCATGAGCAAAAATATAATGTCAGTTTCTGTATTTAATAAACTTTATATTATGGTAAAGCAGGCTTTACTTCCTGCTATATTTGGTATTCATTGTTGACCAATACTGTTAAGAGATGGTGCTAATTTGTATGGAGAGTTCTTTGTTATATCTGAATTAGTAAAGAGATGAATGAAAATTCCATAAAATATTGTGTCCCAGATTGTTTCCTCATGAGGTTGGATGAAGGTGTTGTCAATATTGTGTAATAGGAAGTGAGCAGTCTAATCACCTTTCTGTTTTAGAATGTTTTTTTTTTTCAAGCAGTGCAATGTTGTACATTGTTCTTAAATGAAATGACAGTTTTTATTCTCTTTTTTTTAATTACAGGATTTTAAATGAAAATGTTTTCAGCATAGAAAAGGAAGGTTTCAATTATCTTTCAAGATAATTAGAATTATCATGTTTGATTCTAAGTGTCTGATTTAATTATTTCGTATGCTGTTTGTATGCTCGATATATCTGGAACTTGACACAATTTCCATAAACTCCTTTTGGATGTAACAATAATTAAAGATATATATATATGATGATCAAGTACAGATCTTGTAAACAACCTTGTGGTAAATACAGGTGTGAATGTTACTTTGAAAACAATAAGATACACATTAATATAATGTGTTCTCCATTAATGTGCAGCTACTTGATAACTACTACTGAGAATAGGTAACCAAACCAAAGCATTGAAATGGGAATTGGACCATAAGCAGTGAAATGAGTGAAGTTAGAGATGTGTGCTATTTATGGATATATCCAATTCAAATTGTTTGGCAACAATCAACAATAGTTTTGTTTTTTTTAAAGCAGAGAGGAGAATTGTATCATAGTCAGTGCATAACGTCTACATTGAAACATGGTGAGTGATCAGTACATGTTTAAAGCTGCATCTTAGCAAACAATGTTGGTGATCTACAAAATTGGTGACACTGACTGCTGAAATAAATAAGTGAATTCTAATCCATTTATCTTTCCTTCAGAAACATGACTCATTAGGTGGGGAGTCATTTTCCAGCAATATGGTAATCCCAAGCATACAGCAAATCTGGTATCTTGACATTAAAGAAGACAATGTAACATTCACAACATATGAACATCATTGAGACTTTATGGACATATGTAAAAATTTAGAAAGCTGGAAGGTGACCAAACAACTTGTCTATATTATGGAGAGATGTATGCAGAACACTTAGAACAATATTTCACAATCATACATTGATAAGCTGTATGGTAGCTTAAAAATAAAGTGTAATGCTCTGTGTAATTCAAAGGACTCACAAACAAATTACTGGTGCATTATACAACCTATTCAATGTTCTTTTTTACATTCTGTGATAATGTTTTGTAGCATGAATTCACCATCTAGTTGCCATACTTTTTTGTTTGTGACTCATGCATGTTTATCACCTGTGTGTTTCCATGTATATTCAGTTTTATGAGTTTTGAATAGGGAGAAGAATTGCTCAAGGTCGTACTCACCTGCTCCGTCGAACACCTGGATCAGCTCCTTGCCATAATTCTAGTTTCAAAAGAAGGAGTCTAAAGTTAAAGAAACCTGTAGATAGAAAAAACAGACCACGCTCTTCAACTTTTGCTGAAGATGATGATGAAAGCTGTAAGAAGATTATTCAGAGCACAAAAACAAATATTAAAATTATTACACATTGTTATTGACATTTAACAGTAATGCCACTTACTTTCACAATAGTCCATGATAAAAAATTTCTTTGGTTTAGTGTTTAATGTAAAGCTAATTTCAAAAGCAAAAGATATAACTTATTTTATATGGTATAACAATTTTTATTATTCAGGAACTAACCGCTATTCTGATGTGTATTTTATAAAAAATAGTTTCTGCTGTCTAAAAAGTTTTAAAGAAATATAAAAAGTTATATGAAACAGAAAAATTTACATTTTGCTCTTAGAAAGCTGAAATGTTTGATGTTTTGTAAATTTATAGAAATAAATAACTTAACATTATGTGTACAGGTGGGGTTCAAAGTTCACATGTCACAACCTTTTACAGAGTTACATTCAAAATTTAATTAAACTACTTTATTATTAATGTATTTCAGTAAACTTAGCATGGAAATACAGTTTATATTCAAATTTTTATATTGTTTAAGTTTTGATTTCTTAATTTTGAAAGTAAATATTTGAATAAATTCTCAATCTTCACTTCTCTGTATCATGTGACACTTCTCTGCTCTGAATTTTCCATTTTATATATTGTTTATACCCCCCTATATGATCTCTGAGATTGAAAATTACATATTGCTAAGACATAATTTAAATTTATAACCTTTAGTCTTTTTGCTTTACTGAAATATAAACCAGAAAATCAAAACCACATGCCATTGTATCACATTCTGTCCTTTAAAAAATATCAGTAATTCTCTTTGACTATTGTATTATTTATAACCAATAAAAAGAAAAGATTTTAATTTACTGAAATTCTTATAAGGTTAGCTTGATCAGATGACTGTTTATGACTTATTCAGCTTACAGTTTCATTCTTTACTGCCATTGAGTTACCTCGACCAGCAAACAGAATCATCTTATCCCTTTTATAAGTTAATTAGAAAGCCAGTTAAACTGTAATAGTTACAGGACATTGTATTATTTGTGCATATTATTATTTTGTGTTCTAAATTGCATATTTGAAAAAATATAAATTAAGTAAAGTACTAACAACAACCCTACCAGAAAGTATGGCTAACTTTTAGAGTTCAATAACAAGAAAATACAAGACCCAAATGTAAGTACTAAATATTTTGTATTCTTTATGTATATCATTTATTTATTGTTATAAAAGTAACTAAAACATAATCATAATAAATTTACTAGGTTAGATAGGAAAACATAGATGAAAAAAACCTTAAAAGTTTTTTTACAAGAAATGTGTGCAATCTACTTATACATGATGCTTTTCAACACTTTGTTTACCATAATTTGCTCTTGCTGGGTGGTTTATTGTTTTGTTACACTAGTTTAGTAGTGAGAAACAGTTCTTTTGAGTTTATTTCATAGTTTTCAACTTTCACTACAAATTATTTTGCTACAGTTAGTGTTAGAGTAGAGAAAATAAGAGATAAGATATAAAGTCTTACTGGAAAATAACTTTTGTTATTCATTTAGGAGGCTCTAGGGGGTTATGTAAATGAAATATGAAAATTGTAAGATCAAAAAGAGTATTTTTATTCTTAACATGAAAAATCACCTTGCACTAAAACTAGTCTGAATCTAACTGATTCAGGAAATTTCAGGAAATTCACGGACAAATATTTAGTAGAAGGACTTTATTAAAAATGCTGAATATTTTGTATACAACATACTTGTAATGCTAATAAAGGCTTACCAAATTTAATGACAGTAAACTAAATAAATTCAGAATTATAGTAAACATTAATTCAATATATAAATATGGGCTCCAATGGACCAATACCATGCACATAAGATTAACTTAAAGTTTTTAAAACCAGCTACTTGTTTGACTAATTTAATTTTGATTGAACAGGGTATAACAATTTACTAAAATAACATTTTCATAAAACCGTATTTATTAAAAGGGCAATGTTGATTTTTCTAATTAAATCATAGAATTTTGAAATATCTAATACTTAATTCTCTCTATTTGGGCTTTGTCATTTTGAATGACTTTGCAACCACCAGCTAATCATGAAAGGATATGTACGGTAGTTTTTAATGTAATAAATGTATCATCATGAAATTTAGCAAGCAGTTAGTAAACATTTCAAGTGTTTTACACACAAAAAATTAAACTTTTTAATAAAGTGTTTCTACTAAAGATTTTTCTCTGAATTGACTGAGTTGATTTGACTCAGTCTAGTCTTAATGTAAGGTGGTTTCATGTTAAGAATAAAAATACTTTTTTCATTTAGCAGTTTTCAAATTTCATTTGTATAACATCCAGAAGCTGCTAAATGAATATCAAAAGCTTTTTTCAGTAAAACTTTATATTTTATCTGTTATTTTTTCTACTCTAGCACAATACAGACTCAATTGGTTTGACTGACTTCCAAAACATACGTACCTCCACTGACACTAATAGCTATTTTTTGAACTTCATCTTTGCCATCTAACATTGTGTTTGCTTGCTCCAGTCTTTATATACCCCACTCGACTGCCCTCGGCAATATCTAATTTGCAAAACTTTATGCCAGGTTTTACATGCCCTCTATGCAGGTACTGTATATAAGCACTGTATGCAGACAATAAAATCACTTTTTTCTCGACAGAGTGCAAGCATTCAGACTAACGTTTTGTGATTTACATTTTCTTAGTTTTGCTTTATAATAATCGGAAATTCTTTGTAATTTTCACACATAAGAGATAGTCTTGGCATCCAATCTATAACTTTAATTCCAAGCTATGAGAAGTTGTGTTTATTTCTAGACTACATTCTTTAAAATTTCAGTATATTAACTTCTTCAAATCAGTATTTTAGAATGTCACATCTGTGTGTTTGTCGCCATTTTTCCTTGCATAGAGGACGTGTGAGTGCTGGCATATAGTTTTGCAAATTAGATATTTGCCAAGGGCAGTCGAGTGGGGTATATAAAGACTGGAGCAAGCGAACATAACGTTAGATTGCAAAGATGAAGATTGAGAAATAGCTATTAGTGTCAACAGAGGTAAGTATGTTTGGAAATACATTTTCAGTTTAGGAAAATGATAACCTTCCAACACAAAAATATACAATATAAATTATCCTTTTCTCTTTCTAGTACAGTTGCATATTGTAACAGAAAATTACAATTATTCTTCCTAAACAGCTTAAGGCTCATAAAAGTTTGCCTGTGTTTTTATTTCATATTATTGTTCTTTGAACTGTATCTAACTAATACTCCAATGATACAAATTGTAAATCGCATGGTGAAATTGGTAGCTCATTTTATGGTATTGAATGACATAATATATAAGCTACTTGCAAGCATATCTTGCAGAGAAATTTTTGATTTTTTTCTCATAACCTAAAACATTTATAATTTTTACATTTTAATTACTTTTATAACAGTAAAAAGAATATACATAAAAAATAAATTTCTTATTTAGTTTGGCTTCTTGAAACTTGACCCTAGTTCCTTGTTACAATATTATGAGTAACAAAAATAATTTTGATTTATTTGAAATATGCACATAGTAACAACATGCACAAAGTAAACAGCATCTCCAACTATTATAATTTAATTGTTTTTCTAACTAAAGTGCCTCAGCTGTTTGGTTTGAACTAGGCAAGAGCAACTTTCAGTCTGTAGGTGAAATAAATCAAAATCTCTACTGAGAACAAGGTTGCATTAAACGTCATTCAGCAAATGAAGTCCCTGCCTTTCTATTGGTTAGACATGATGTAACAGCAAATGTAAGAAAGAATCATTAGCAATTTATGAAAGAGAGTATATGACAGGAGGGTGTGGCAAGTGGTTTGGTTTTCTGGTTTATATCTCCATAAATAAAGGAGATTGAAGGCTATAAAAATTTGACTTTGTCTTAATTCATATCTATGCTACAATGACTAATTTATATTAAACTCAGGAAATTTTATAGGGGTGATGAAAAATTAGAAAATGGGCAAGTCGGAGCAAACAAATGTTAAGTTACACAGACAAGCAGAGATTACAAATTTATTTAAATATATTCCTTTGAAATTAGAAATTAAACCTCATATAATAGTAAAACTTGATTTATCATCAACATCTTAATGCTAAGTTTATATTTATATATATTGATAATAAGTAGTTTAATTAAATTTTGAATATAAGTATAAAAAGTTCTGACATATGCACCTTTACCTATGTGTAGCAAGAGGATTAAACTCAGTAAATGGATTTATTAACTATGAAGAACTATTTGACTTAAGAATTAATTCCTTTTTTTAACAGACTTGAAAAGAACAGAGAGTATCCACTCTCGGCGAAAAGTGAGTGCAGTATCTGATCGTAGTGACACCAGTGAAAGAGCAGATGTTAGTGGAGAGGAGTCTCCAGGTGTTTTGAGTGATGAACAAGCCCCAGAAAGCCCAAATGATGTGTTAGAAAGTGATGATGTGTCTCTTACTAAAAACATGCCTTGGTTAAAGGTCATTAATGCTTCCTTGTATGTTTAATATGCTTCTTTACACATTGAAATACATGTTGTTTTACAAAATTATATTTGTATGTTATAAAGTTTAAGTAGATTTTCAGGCTTCATTTTTGGCTTGAAAGTTTCACTTCCTGATAATTAAGTAGAGTTTCTTATTGTTTCTTATTGTGTTGATAAAAAAATAAATAGTTTGGAAAGTGTAACATCACAGTTATGTGAATAATACTTATTTTGGTTAAAAGGTTTGTTATATTTAGGGAAATAGCTTTTATAAAATTACTTTCATGTAACAAACAATCATACATTTTGTTGAAGATTTTTATAGTTAAACATAAATATTATGTCATCAAGAAATTAATGTCACGTTTTGGAACACTTTCATTAACCACCCCCCAAAAAACGTACATCATATATAATACTTAAACGAACTGCCTAAATGTCATGTTAGTGTAGCCTATATAATGTGTAAAGTTTAGTATATTCTAATCCCTTACAGTGATGGCACATGATAAGACACACATTCGGCATGTAATGCTGTTTGAATACAAGAAGGGAACAATGCCTCTGTAGCCACAGATAATATATAAAAAGTTTATGGAAATGTTTTGAATGTTCATAAGTGTCAATGATTGTTCAGCAAATTTCGTTCAGGTGACTTTAACCTTAAAAACTGTGACAGCAGGGGCAGACATGTTGGAATTGATATTGATGCTCTGAAGACGCATGTTGAGTCTAACTCAAGGCAATACGCTCGTGAAATAGCCCTGAAAGTGCATGTCTCTCATGAAACAGTACGTAAACATCTAAGGAATATGGGAAAACTCCATAAAGAAGGAGCTTGGGTGCCTCATGAACTCTCCGATGATCATCGTTTCCAACATGTGAACATTGTTTTGTCTCTTCTATCGTGTAATGCACAAGAACCATTTTTGGACAGAATTGTCACCGGGGATGAAAAATGAATTTTCTATGCGAATATTAAATACTAAAAACAATGGCTCAGTCCTAGACAAAAACCACCTCTGACCCCGAAACCTGGACTCCATCTGCAGAAAGTGATGCTTTGCATTTGGTAGGACATCAAAATAGTAATTCATTTTGAACTTCTCAATTCACAGCAAACTGTCAATGCAGAAATCTATAGTCAGCAACTGGAATGTTTAAATTAAGCCCTTCATCAGAAACGCCCTTCAATCATTGATCAGAAAGGTGTTCTTCTCCACGACAGTGCATGTCCACGTGTGGCATGTTTGATGTAACACAAGATTATAGAGTTGGGTTAGGAAGTTCTCCCCCACCCACCATATTCTCCAGATCTGGCACCATCAGATTACCATCTTTTTTGTTTGCTGCAACACCATCTTAATGGGAAAATGTATGCAAATGTGGAAGGTGTTAAGAGGACATCGACATGTTTTTTGCTTCTAAGCCAAGTGATTTCTTTAATCGGGGCATTAACAACCTGATTGTAAGATGGAAAAGCATCATCAACAAGAATGGAGATTATTTCATTTAATAAATGTTTGGTTTTGATATATAAATTGTTTGGGTTTTTTTCATCTATAAAAAAGTGACATTAATTTGTTGATGACCTAATATATATTGTTTGTCAAAAGTAAAAATCATTGTCAGTGTTTACAAAAAATTGTATATCATGTTGAATTGTTTCCAGTATTTTGATATTTTAATTGAGTTTCATTAGTTTTTTTCTATCTTTTTTTTTTAGGTTCTAGTTCAAGTTTCAAGCTCCTTAAATTTTAGCTGCCCACATCAACATTTCTGTCACCCAAACTGTTACCGTCGACAGATGAGAGCCTGTAATCGCTTAGTGAAAGCAGTTCGCAAGGTTGGAGATTTATGTTTCTTGTTGATTTCTTTCTTTCAGAATTTTGTGCAAAGCTACACAAGAGTTATCTGTACATGACCATCCCTAATGTTGAACTGCTAGACTAGAAGGATGGCAGTTATTCTAAAGCACTTACTGCCAACTCATGAACTGCATTTTTCTAATGAATAGTAGGATTTGACTTTCACTATTATAGTGCATTTATAGCCACAAAGTATGAAGCACATTTTTTTCAGCAGGGGGTCATGAACCATGAATCCTCAGATGCTCAATCCAGGCATGCTGATAACTAGGATACAACCACCCTATATATGTTTCTAATTGGTCACCAGTAAATATTTATTTACCATAGGTTATCGAGATTAATAAATTACAAACTGAGAACAGTAGGCCTAAATATGTTGCATTATTTTGAGTGCTAATTTATAAAATATGAATGAATGTGATATCTCAAAACAAAGGATTTTACCATAAAATCATAAACAAACTGTTTTAGTGGCTTTAAAGCTATGCAGGATAAAACCACAATTGTAGAACAAAATTACCAAAAAAAAGTTCCTCATAGAATGGAGATATTGTTGCCATAGTGAAGGGGTGAGATGAAGATGAACAAAAAACTTAATAATACAAATTTAAATTTATATCACCTGTTTTGGTGTCTTTTGTAATTTACATAACTAGAAATAACTGAAATTTATCTTTGACTCATGTAGAAAAAACTGCATTTAACATTAACAAATTGCTTTAAGAAAGTTACATAAGTTATTTCTTATATCCCACAAAAACAATTTTCCTCTTCGAATCTAATGTTGTATTACAAACAAGCTACATGGAAACAAATAAAATGGCAGCACCCAAAATATTTGAATTAAAGAAAAATTAAAATAGACATATAATTACATTGTGCATTAAATATTTTACTCTCATGTGCCCTATACTAGTTTAACTAGGCAAAAATATGTTTGGACTCTTTATGCTATAGTTGGGGGCTACATAGCAAATATTTATTAATCACTTGACACAAATGTTTTGTTTATCTTAGGCATGATAGGTTTATCACAGTTTGAGATGCAGTAGTGTTGTTAGTTGGGTGTTTAGCTTTTATTTTAAGATTCGAATTAGGAGTGCTTCCTTTTTCCACAATGTCTTTTTGTCAGTTGCTGCATTTATTATTTGGAAGTGTTTGATTTTAGACTTTTTGCTACAGTATTTGCTAAGATGGTTGTAAATTCCAAAATTGCTGAAAAGACTGTTTTGGGCATGCTTCTTAACTCTGGTAGCTAGGTTTCTGGTCGTTGACTCAATGTAGCCATGTATAAGGATGAAATATAAAGACTAGTGATATATATATAGATTGATCAAATTTCATGAATTTGAAGAAATTAGAGAAATCACTTCTCTACATACAATATTTGTATTATATCATTGTGTTGTTAAGTAAATTTAAACATAATTTGGGTGACTGGTTCAAATCTTAGCCAGTGATACTAATACTGTAATATTTATTTTATTATTTTATACTATTCTAATGAATTAGATTTGATTTACTTTTGTACTTTAGAAAAGTGGGTGGTAATTATAAATCTAGTTTCTAGGAGAGTAAGAAATTGTCATTTTCCCTAAATTTCCAAAAAGTCAGATTTTTCATATTAAAGACTTTTTATTTAATGTGTACTCTTAGTAATACTATTTAATTCCATCAAATGAAGTATACTGCTATCTCTGATGTTTAAAGACATTCATGAGTCTTTCTCACATATGATATGTTTGCATGGTTTACATAAACATTATTACCTTTGTAATCATTTAATACTTAAAGCTTTTGAAGTGTTGAAAAGTATTTGTAATGTGTTTAAAATACATATATTATTTCTTTTTTGTAGGTTTATGGTGATGAAATAGGAGTTGTTAAAGACACAGAAAAACAGCCAGAGGATAAGGAAGACAGCAAGAAAGAAAAAAAGCTGAAAAAGGTACATTAAAATATTATTTTCCATAGGTAAAATACACACATTCATGTTTATGGTAAAGCTTGAGGAGTTTTTATACTTAAAATACAATTAAAACTAACATCAAAAATAAGTTTCATTACTCAACATAATCATTAATTTTTAACCCTAGGATTACACACACACACACACACACAAAAAAAAGTCCAAAATACCATTGATATTCCTGTTAATCCCTGTAGTTGCTTCTGGGTTCCAATATATTTTACATAGAAAATGGATGATTTCACCAAATTCTTTTTCTGAGTGTTTTAATCTTCATCTTGTAACAGGCAAAAAAATTACTCAATCTAATGCAATATGTGGATTCCAATGTTTGCAAACAGTATAAAAAGAAGTCAGTAATTGGAGTATTAATCATTTATATACTTAGAACTTCAACATATTACTATTATTTGTTACATATTATAAATGGATACCATTGCAGTAAGTGAATTTTATTTTAAAAATCTCTGTTTTACTATACTAGTGTTTTATCTTACTGTCAATAAAATTTAGTTGTAAATTGTTAGTTTTACAAAATTATTTAATTTTAATTGAATTTTTTAAATTTACTTTTAAGGAATGGACATGCTTAATGTACACAGCGTGGTCAGAAGTAAATAGACACCACCTTTTCAGAAAAAAATGAAATTTTTCAGTCATATTCACAT